ATATAGATGTACTTGCTACATTAATAACAATATCATTGATTAATCTTGAAAACATCATTTTACAGATAATCCACATTCTATTTCATTATTATTCCTAACGAGGAAAACTGCAATACCAACCAGTTATTAATTTTTTTTCGCAGATATAGTCTGTTTAGAAAAAATTAAGAACCTACAAAAATTACAGAAACTAGCAGTAAATATATCAATTTTATAATTCTATGAGAATCTGATACCAATGGAGTAAGTGTATTGGATCACTGTTCAGTTAAATGTTGAATAATGTAGAAAATTGATATGCCAATCAAAATATATCAACTTTGACTTCTTCAACTTAAAGCACAATTAATTTCAGACAGTATCGACTGGGAATATATATTCGATAAGGTTGATGAAATGGCAAATCACTTCAACATTAACCTGAATTATTTATTGAATATTCATGTACAGTTCTGAATTACAAATTCAAATCTGATCCAAAGCTATATTAGCATCACTAAAAATTATAGAGATCATAATTTAGATAACTCAAATTATTTTGTTTTGTCCTTAACCTTCATGCAATTGATGGCAGTAAAATCACTATGACAAAAATACCATTTTCATATCTGATTATATTTTATTTATTTTATCAACAGTCAAATGAATGTATGCTATAGATGTATTTTTTGTTTACCTTCTTAACATTATGTATCTGATATTTGATACTATTTCATCAAGTATCAGTCAGTTCTATAATATTTTCGATACAAATTAACCTGTGATGGCATAACTCTGTATTTTGCCTTCTGAGGGTTCAAAAAACGACAATTTTTTTCAATCAAATTGATTGATCTGATGAAATAAAATATTTTCACTCTGTATTTATAGATGCTGAAAAAGTAGTTAACACTATTCAAAGAAACAATTACTTCTGAATTGCCATCCATAAAAGTCAGTTTTCAAGATTTTCAAAATTATTTTGATAATAATAAAGAAATAAAATATGTTTTTGATAACGTTATACACAGATATATTATAAAGATTAACTAAAATCTGTTGAAAAGTTATAACGTGAAATAAAATAATTTGTTATATTTGAAATATTTTATTTTTTTCTCTACAAATCAGCTGGATGCTTTGACTGGAACTTCTGAAAAACTGCAAAATAATTCCATAGTGACAACTGTATATAAACATAATCCTTAGTGCCTGTGATACAAACATATAAAAAACAAGTTTATTATTTTTCAAAATCATTAATGCATTAGTGAAATTTCCACTAAAGTTCAGCCGAGGTATTTTCTGGATGACCTGAAAGTCTGAAATATTTATAACACAAACAGGTATGACAATAACAATGACTAGGAAAACTATCACATTTATAAAATGTTGCAAGTATTGAAACTCAATCCAAGAAAAAATCTTCTTTAACAAATACCTACCATCATACCCTAACTTACCATTAAGAACGTGCAAATAAACACTTGCTGAATCCAAATTCGAAGGATTGCAGGTATAATTTCCTGCATCCTCTGGTTTGGTTCTGAAGATGGTGATAGTACTGATGGTGGTGTCGGTACCCTTCCGCGACATGCGAATGTCGATTGCACTCTGGTCATATTTCAGGACTCGTTCACCATCATGGTACCAGAAGATGTAAGCAGGTTCTTCTAGGGACTGAGTGATGACACACTTTAGTTGAACAGTGCTGCCACGTTTGACGTAGATATCAGATTCACCTTCAATCTCGATTTTAGGGACTGCAAGTAAGAAAGGTAAAGTGCTTATGATTCAGAACTTATATATTTACTATGATACTACTAACATTTCCTTCAACGTAAATCTCACAAATCTCAGTAAGATTTACATGCAGTCCAAAGATTATAAGAGAAAAATAATATGCTTTATTGTATGCATGGTGCCATCATGGTTACAAAGGTTATTGGAAATATAAAATAAAATAACAAAAAACTAGGTCTAAGAACATGAATCAAGTAGTTAAGGGGCGTAAACAGATATAAAACACACAACTAAAAATTTGTTTAAAACCAAATTAAAAAAAAAGTATTTCACAATTATAAAAATATATTTTTTACACGATATAATTGATTTGGGTATTGTTTGCACTGTCTCTGTGAATTTCGAGGATAAAGATTTCAGATTTCTGTGATGGAATTGGCTGATACTTATGATGCCTTCTTGAGAAAAAAACACTTCAATGTGTCATTTTCACTTAACTACACTAATATACTATTGTCTGAAGAAGGTACTGTGAAGTGAATTTTTTTTTGCTGTTGTGTGTATAAACTCATAATTTCAACCCAAACACTCAGTTTCTAAGAATATTGAGTGTGAATTTGGTGTGTCATATTGGGATTTGAATCACACCAGTATGGGGAAATTTTGACCGTTGAGATAAAAGGTAAATTCATTTGAGAAGCATGCAGTGTATAACAAAGCTGGATTTAGGTTTAGGATCTCACAAAATTCAACTCTTCTGTCAGAATCATCTTTATTGAATTCATAAATCATTTTCATTTTGTAATGGTGGATTTTTTGTAGAAGAATAATTCTGAAAACGTTTATACGAATCACTCCAGATGCTCAAAATAAAATAGTTAAAGACTGCATATTTTTCATCAAGACAACATGGACAGTTTCCATGAATTTGTTCAGCAATTCCAATATATATTTATTATTTACATTTTTGCCCAGATGAATATCGATAAAACATGTGCCCTAGCAGATTTTCTATTTTTGTAGTACAGACCCACTATTTCAATCCACTCTTGAAGTGTATAAACATGAACCATCTTTCATACAACAAAACATAATAAACAAAATAATAATTAATTCAAACAGGGTGAAAATAAAAACTCTATTAATAAAACTAAACTGAGTCACTATTTCGACAGTAACTAAATAGTTAAATTTAGGACTATATTGTATACTTAAATAAAACAAAATGAGTTCCTATTTCTGTTATTTTCACTACTAGTTATCAATAATACCCAATTGGAACATTTCAAAGACTGAAATCAAGTGTTCAGGTTGACCTTCTAGTTTGAAATTGAATAAAAACTTAAGAGTATTTTATTGTTTTGACAATGCTTATCTTTGCAATGTCAAAAATGTTGCAGAGACTATTACATTCTTCTCAATGCCTGTTTCACATACCGAGTTATCAACATTAAGAAAATATGAAAATAGATTTCTTCAGAAAATAAGTTAACTCAATTATTGTGAGAGTTAGAGATATTCAATACGAATTATTTTGCAGAAAAAGGAAAGATTCAATATGAATAAAATAGATGACAGATCTGATTCATTTTAAAGAAAAGAAGACACTCACCAACTACATTAAGAGTTATAAAATGGCTCATCTTTGGTTCTGTGCTGACTTGACATTCATATTGTCCAGCATCTCTTGCTTGTACATATTTCACCTGAAGAGTCCAAGTATCGGTTGCTTCTACAAAAAAGGCCTGAAACCTCTCGTCAGCTATAAAAGTATACCTGGAAGAAAAAAATGTCAATGAATTGAAAATTGAAATTTTCAAAAAATACACTAGAAAAAAATACAACTGAATTAAAAACATTTATTTTATGGCTTCTAATTTTTTTCTCACTTTTCATGTTTTATCATTTTTCATAATTTATTTTCATTATTTCATTTTATTCATTATTTCTTTTATTATTACTGTTTACATATAATTGACAATTCACTTGTTTAACCTATTTATTAATTCATTTTCATTTTTCAGAATAATTTAATTTCTTCACAATCTTACATATTTTTTTTTCAATTTCATACTCATCTTTATATCTTACAATGATATTCATATTCAAAAATTCTTATTTTCAAAAATATATAACATTCAACTTTGAAATCCATTCCTACTCCACCACAAATAGATTCAATATTTTCATTCAAAAACATAACAATTATTTCTTTTGTTTTTTAAATGCTTTATTGAATTCAACAAGCTACCTAATGAAATGAAGAATAGTTCATCAGTCATAGTTTTCAAAAAATAAATTAGAGAGTAGGTATATAAAAACCATAGCATTAGTTAACCATTGTATTCATTATGTTTAGATCAACTTTCAAAATTAAATTTGATTGTAAATGTTTTTTTTTAGTGATTTTTAGTATATTTGCTATTTATATGAATATGCATGTAATTATGTTTGCATATTTGAATAAATACATTATTCTTCTATTGTTTCACTTTTTTATTTTTTGTATTTGTTTTTGTTAAAGAACTTTATTCAGATAATGTAATCATAGTTACAATCAATATTTTGAATAGTTATTGAGATAGCAGCACTATCAAAAAAAAATCCAAAGCAGCACCAACATGCTGGTCTCGGAAAACGAGCTAAAAACAATATAATAATACTTTATACAGCACAACAAATTGATACTAAATTGATGGATGTAGCAGTTACTAAGTGGTAGAAAATCATAATGAAGAAAAGATAATTGAAACTTTCTATGTTTTTTACCACTTTTATTTGTGAATGTCCTTATAGGACGAAACTGCAGTAACCTTAGTTACAAATAAAAGTGGCAAAAAACATAGAAAGTTTCAAGTCTCTTTTCATCATTAAAATAATACTATCAAAATTCACTCAAGAATTCATAATTCAAATGTAAACAAAATAAAAATCTAAAAGTAATTAATACAGAGAAATTAAAAGATTTAAGCTCTTCCTTCGTTGAGTATGCTAGTATAAACATTCTTTATTATTCTTAAAGATACTGATATTAGGGCCAACAGTTATTTCCTTGGGAAAAATATTTAAAGTTTTCATGCATAGTGTAATGGGATTATTTAAGCCAATATTAATATGTACAGATTCTAAAAAGACATTATTTGGGTTTTAATATTTTTGTGATATTTTTCCTCTATAGATTTCAAATCTGCTAACATATTTGATAATCCTTCCCATAATTTTTATGATCTTCAAAACATGCTGTATTGCTACTTTTCGTTTCATCTCAATCAACGGAATCTTTGGAATGGAGTAGTGAGGAAATACAAAATATAAGATTATATGTCCGAGGTCTGGTCAAAATTTTCGATACTGACAATATTCTTGGAGTTTTTCTGGTATAAGTAATTCTGGTTATTCTACTGATGCCAGTTGGGCACCAAAAAAACCACTTATGCATGAGTTAAACAAAAAACTTACCTATCTACGGTGAGGATATGGGCATCTCTCCTTCTTATCCATGACACAGACTTGTTGCCAAGTTGTTTTATTTTGCAAGGGATATAGGCATGAGTTCCTAGCTGGGTGGTGATATTTGTGGTGGTGGTCGGATCAAAATATGGACCCGTATATAACCCTGTGAATCGTTTAACAGCGTGAGCTGCTTCTCCTTCATGGAAGACTAGCAAAACAAAAATAAAAAATCACAGACTGCTTTAAAATACCACAAAATATAAAAGCTAAGGGAAGCACTAGCCTACTAGCTTTCACTGACCTGTGAAGAGTTCAGGAAAAACCAGCATCCATAAAGTATAAATGAGAAGCCTAGAGGGGAATTCCATTTTGTTGGATTGTTGGAGGAATATTTTCAACAGATGTTCACTACACGTTAGGTTGGTGCTATCGAAACATACATTTTTATCATTTGTTTTCCTGCTCTCGTCACATTTCTGATTAAAACCAGAGGTCAACAAATTGAATCATAATAAAGTTGTTCCAAACTACAGGGGTGCTGGAAAAATATCTCTTTTGTTTACGTAGAAGTTGTCGATTTGTATTTTCCATATCTAAAGGTTAATTTCACTGTTAACATAAGGTTAAGGCCTGTGGATAAAAAATTTTATATTAGTATATAAAATGTAAGTAAATTGTACTTGTATGTTACATAGAATAACACAATTTAATTGAAATATTTTATGAATTTGCTTTGTTTTAGTAAAACTAGACATGTTTCTTGAAGACAAAATTAAAATCTACCCTGTCATTCGAATTGTTTTTTATTTTGTCTAAAAGCTGAATAGAAATAATATGATGAAAATCTCAGATTGAATATGATAAAATTGCAGATCAACACATTTCATTGATCTTTTTGGTCTTAAAGTGAAAATGTGTTGTTGTGCATTGAAACATTACTTTTACAAACCCAGAACTCTCAAATAACTATCAAACTCTAACTTCAATTCATGACCCTACATGAACATTTTTCACGGAAAATGGACTTCATTTTCAAGGATAGAAACAACAAAAATTCGAAAACATTGCTACTTACTACTAATTCAAACTTGCAGGACTGCAGCTAACGAGAATAAAACGTTTTGTACAAAAATGTTCACAAACAAATGTGTATTTTGATTTGGTGAATAATTTTTCATTAATAATTTCACAAGCTCATGAGCAATACTTGGGTGACATTTTAGTAGAGATCTTAGTAGCTGTCAAAAATCGAATCAAACATAACCAAACATTTCTGAGGAATTTTCTTTCATCAGGCAAATTTTCGAAACCCAACAGATTTGTGTTTGAATTAAATGAACATGACTTCATGTTGTTTAATTAGATTATTGAAGGCAGACATTACGAAATTTTCGTGAAAACTACTGAATTTATTATAACAAAACGCTTTTTGCTTCAAGTTAACAGATGATCGCTCCAATGAAACGCCCTGAATAGCACGAACAGTGAGGGTACCAATAATACTACATTACTCTATTTAAACAAAAAGCATCTAATGCCCCGTGACTCCATGACTTCATAACTCGTATCACAGAAAATCTTACTGAAGATACAATCTGGGGGTATTATGATGTTGAGTCGAGTTTCTGTGATCTATATTCTCCGTTGTAAATTTAAATTATTGGAAGTCATGGGATATATAATTCAATTGCAGTTGAGAAATTATCACGATGTCATCTCGGCAGGCAGGCCAAATTTTATTTTACATGTTCACGTTCACAAGTCGACAACATTTTTAAGTAAACAATAATCATCTCAAGATTGTCAAAAAGTTCATAGTTCCCGTTCAGCACTGAGTGTCTCTTCTGTGAGATATTCTGTGATATCACCTGTTTATCTTTAGTTGTGTTTTGTCAGCAATCAGATGACTCATTTCTGTCAAAAGTTATTCGCTATCTCTGCTAGACCTAGTAGAGAGTAAATAACTTTCGGCAAGAATGACTGATATGGAATAAGATTAGGGAGAACAAAATACATATTTTGTCGAACCCATTTGAACAAGGCAGCGCCCTCTCTAGTCTATGACTTGGGCGCCCTCTCTAGTCCATGTCTTGTTCTTCTTTTTATTCTATTAGTTTCAACTCGGACTCGGAATTTTACTTCTAGTTTTAAAAACCAACACTAATGACAGTTGGCAAGAAAAATCGAACACTAATTTCCATTAGGTTAATAAAAAATAAGTAACGGAAAAACAAGAATTGAATTTTCTAGGAAAAATGCCTGGAAGTGGGAGTATTTCTGAAATGAAAATCATTCAAATAGTAACACTCGGATTATTTTTTTCCACTCTGTTGTTCGTATCAGCAAAAAAACATGCAGAGAAACCTGAATGGGCTAAAAAAGATATCAGAGACTACACAGATGCCGACATGGAAAGACTGTTAGATCAATGGGAGGAAGATGAAGAACCACTAGAAGAAGATGAGTTACCAGAACATCTTCGCCCAATGCCTCAAATAAACCTTAATCAGTTGAACCCTGATGATCCCGAAGGGCTTTTACAAGCCACAAAGAAAGGAAGAACCTTGATGACATTTGTACAGGTAAGAGAAGATCTTACAAGAGACGAGACTGAGGAAATAACCAAATTGTGGCAAACCAGCCTATGGAATAGCCATATTCAGGCTGAGAGATATCTTGTCGATGATAACAGAGCTATATTCCTTTTCAAAGATGGTTCGCAGGCATGGACAGCCAAAGAATTTCTGGTAGATCAGCCAAAATGTGAAAGTGTCACAATAGAATCAAAAGTGTATGAAGGAAAATACAAAAAAGCTAAACAAGAATTGTAAAAATACTCATTTCACTTCATTTATATTTTGTTAATAAAATTCAAATATTAACCCGTCATTTATAATTTTGGGTAAATCCACTTCCTTGCGCTAAAAAAGACAAAATTACTGTGCAAGAAAAGATTGTTGTTTAAAGAAGACTGCTACGGTCACTAGTTCAATGTAGTACAAACAGATGAAAATCTGTGTTAAGTGGTTTTCTACATAGCAAGTATTGTGACTTATGCCATTGTAAAATTTGATGGAGATGAGTAAAATTATCTATCATGAAAACATCATGTGCAATATCAGAGAGACTTCTGTCAGTGCAGATTGCATGGTGATTAAGTTAATGAATGAAAGCTACAAGTAGTCGAATAAACTTCGAATAATATCTCGAAATATTCATCTTTCCCAACTACCTACACTGTAGAGGTTCTGGAAAATGCCTGTCGGAAAACAACTACTACTACGCTAGATATTGATATCCAACAGACATTTATGCAAGATACCTCACAGAGGTTAAAAGCCTTGCAGATGTTTCTTGTTCATCCAGAAACAGAACCATGCCGAAATTATTCGAGTAGATCACCTACAGAGCGGTTTCGAGGTATTACTTCTCATCAGTGCAAGAAAGATCCCAACACGGCTCAACTGCATGTATGAAACCTTTATCTAAGAGAAATATTGTTAACTATTAGCAGCTCCATATTGTGAACAAAGCCCCAAGTGGGAAAGATTACATATATTTATATATAAGTTGTCCTAGTAAACCATTATTGGGAAATAAGATTTAAAAGAACTGATCTCTGAATCTATAAGAAACAAGCTCATCACAAAGAAGTCTGAATTAGGAAAATGGGGTCATGTAAACTCTCGAAAATATAATCCAAATCTAGTAGGACCTCACCTTGGAATTTTCAGATGAAATATAACCTTTTGTCATGATTGAAGGACTTGCTTAATAAATTATTGAAAACTCAACCATACTCAAACTTTTTTGTGAAAGGTATTTGAAACCCTCACCAAAATATAGATTTATTCAAATCATAGAAATACGATATTTACTATTACTAATATATTCCTTGAGGCTTTTTACAATTATTCCTTAAAACATCTTAATTCAAACAAAATGGTGTGATGTTTACCAGGTGAATTATTTAACATCACTTCGATTTGAAGATTGTTTACAATAACTGTTGAGAAAGTAAATTAAAAAAAATTAATCACGAAGTAAAAGGCGGAGGAATTTTGGAGTATAGTTTCGGGGATTACAGATATTATCTGGAAATATAAAGATTCACCAAAGAACTAAATATTTCTTAAAACAAAAATTATTGCAAAGTTATAAAGTGTACAAGTTTACAAATTGTATTCCTAATACAAACGTGCAGAATCATAAGTAAGTAAGGGTATATTGTTCCAAAAATTCCCTCAAAATTTCATATTGATTCCAAGATCACTTCGGATGATAGAAACTTTGTGTTTCACAAAATTAAAAATCCATCTTCTTTTATTAGAATTAATTAAAATGAACACTCCTTGAAAAGTAAAAAAGAACAAATATCTACATGTTGAAATCATTGTTCTCAAATGAATGTTTGGATATGAATTGTTTACCTTGGATCAACTCTTTCACCTTTTTCTCGGATCAACAACTACAGTTTCAATTGAAAATAACAGCTGAAGTATTAGTAAAAATATTAACTAAACTGAAGTAATTTCCAATTGGAATTTATTTTGGTTCTTTAATATTTGATATATTTCTAAAATAAATTGCACCTAATTGCACAGTGAAACACGTGTTTTGTTTTTGTAAAACTGTTTAGTGAAAATCTCATAATTAAGTGTTTTTCGAATAAGATATAAACTACTTTTACATGAAAATTGAATTACATGAAAAAGGAAAAGTTCTATCATATGTTCATGTGAAATTACTTATCTCGAAAGGGTTTTTTTCTTCAAATTTGTATCTGAAATAAACATTGAATTTCTCACAACTTTTGAAATTGTGTGAACAAAACAGAAACTGATGATATAAAGTAACAAATATAGTAAAAAATATCAACGAATGTCACAAAAAGATTTGAAGCTTTATAACTTCTATTTATTATATGCGAGTGCTTTTGATAGCTGGCTGTGCTATCATCTTCTTAGCTCTAATTAGTTGCATCATTAAAGTGTGCACCATATGGGAAACTTTTTTTTCGAAAAGTTTCAATGAAGTTTAACTTCGGTACTTGTTTGTGCTTTAAATTTAACTTGAAATGATGCGGCCAACTGCGACCCACTGACGTTCAGTGTTTGTCAAATTCAACTTTGTTTTTTGAAAAAAATTGAAAAAGTGCATTTCTAGATCGAATTTAACAAAAAGTTACTTGAAAAAGTTGTGTCTACGGCAATTTTATATCCATATGACAAATTTTATGCAACTAGGATAAAGTTAACGTTTTGCTTATTTTTGACAGATATCCCCTTTATTTTAAAAAACAATTTCGGTTGTCATCAATTCATGTATACATAAAAAACTCATCATGGAATTTAACTTTTCTGATACATTTTTACTTATACGGACATTTTTAGAGAGAAATTAAAAATTCGTAATAAAAATTTTAACATGACTGGTGCAAAGTTTCAATCACTTGGCTATTTTCTTAAACAAACCTTTGATTTCGAAAAACAGAGGCAACTAAAAAAAAATGCAAATAATTTCGATAGAACTATTATTATTATTATAAATTTTAAACAACAATAATATTATAGAAAATACCAATGGGTACAAAAAATTACTTATTGATCTAAATGAGGTTGTCAAACACTTATAGCCTACATTTCAGTATGTCCTCCACGTTCAATACATATTATGGTCCTTCTACTGACATCTGTAACTGCATTTTTAATAAATCGGGGATTTATATTTGCACAGCAGTCGCAAATGGTATTTTCCAGATGTTGTATGTCAGTAAATGGTCTACTTCGGTACACTTTTTGTTTCAGGTAACACCACAAGAAAAAGTATAAAGGCGTCAAGTCGGGTGATCTAGGCGGCCAATAATATTCCCAGTTACGTCCAATAACTTTGCCTCTGAACATTTGTTGGAGGGACTGTTTTACAGCAACCGTGTGATGTATTGGTGCACCATCAAGCTGATACCATAGGTCGTATTTAATATTTAAAGGCATATTATCTAAAACTTCACTAACCTCATTATTTAAAAGGTTGAGATAACCGATGGATGATAAATTTTCCCTAAAGAAAAATGGTCCAATTATTTGGTCGTTAAGTATCCCACACCATACATTAGTTTTAAAGCAATACTGATCACCACATTCAACTGTGAAATTGGGATTTTCTTGGGCCCACCATCGGCAATTTTGAGAACTTACCGTTCCATTTGAAGAGAACGTTGCCTCATCTGTCCATAAAATTTTATACGGAAACTTTACATTTTCTTCTCTCTCTCCTTGAAACCAGAATGAAAAACCCAAACGGACATCAAAATCTCGTTCTTTCAATGTGTTAATAAATTTTGGCTTGTAAGGCCAAAATTTATTCTTCAATAAAATTTTTCCAACACTTTCTCTCTTGTAATCGGTATTTTTTATAATATCGGTTATGCTCGTTTGCCCGTGTTCAATAACTTTTAAACAAATGTTAAGTTGGGCCTCCTCATCATATTAACTTGGAGTGTGTTTTTTTTTAAATTGATTTGCTATGGTCGTGTTTCTCTGAATTTCGACATTATCCTTGACACAGTAGTATGTTGAACATTTTTTCCTGGATGCCGTTCATTAAAAATGTTAGCTACTTGCCGGTATTAAAACTATTTCTATTCTTTCCTGAAGAGACAACATTATTGCAACAATAACTGTTGAAAAAATCTGACAAGTAAATCAACAACTTGACACTACCGTAGCATGCATTTTGTTTGTCAAGACCTACTTAAAAATTTTATTCAACGTGATTAAGCATCCTTACCGCCCTAGTTAGTGTTTATAAATAATCTGTAAATACTGAATATTGAAATTTCAATATAATTCCAACTCTAGTAATTTCATTAATACTTATTGCAGTTTTTGAGTTGTGTCTGCTTTTTCAAAATTGAAGGTACTGACGTTTCTTCAAGAAAATAGACAAGTGATTGAAACTTTGCACCAGTCATGTTAAAATTTTCATAGCACATTTTTAATTTCTCTCTAAAAATGTCCGTATAAGTAAAAATGTATCAGAAAAGTTAAACTCCATGATGAGTTTGTTATGTATACATGAATTTATGACAATTAACCGAACTTGTTTTTTAAAGTGAAGGGGATATCTGTCAAAAATAAGCAAAACGTTAACTTTGCTGCATAAAATTTGGCATATGGATATAAAATTGCCGTAGACACAACTTTTTCAAGTAACTTTTTGTTAAATTCGATCTAGAAATGCACTTTTTCAATTTTTTTCAAAAAAAAAAGTTGAATTTGACAAACACTGAACGTCAGTGGGTCGCAGTTGGCCGCATCATTTTAAGTTGAATCTAAAGCACAAAGAAGTGCCGAAGTTAAACTTCATTGAAATTTTTCGAAAAAAAAGTTTCCCATATGGTGCGCACTTTAATGGTGACACTGTATATAGGTAATTTTTTAGCTGACCCTACAATTGCTATTTCGGAAACATTAAAACCTACAAAGTCCGTTAAATTGGACAAAAGTTTTCTACTTTGGGAAACTAGAATATTTTTTCAGATTAAAATTATCAGTGGTTGTTTTTGAAATACTAGCCAAAAATTGGAATTGTTGAATTTCGTTTTTTTGTCTCTAACACCTCCATTTTGGATGATGTAAAACAAGACGAGAAAACTTTGAATACTATTTCATATTAGTTATAATCTGATATAAACCAATTTGTAATGCGACATTTCGGTCGCTGCATTTCACCATCAACTTAATTTTTTAAATACCGACCTGTATTGTAATACAAAGCTGAATTTGTTATTATAGTGGCTACAAAAATTGATGAAAAAACAAGAGGTCAGTATTCAAAAAAATTAAGTTGATGAAATCCAGTGAACGAAACCTTGCACTGTAAATTGGTTTATATCAGATTATAACCAATATCAAACAGTATCGAAAGTTCTTCTGCCTTTTTTCTTCATCATTTAAAATGGAGACGGTAGAGTCAGAAAACGGTTTCAAAAACAATCACTTATATTCTCTATCTGTGAAGATTTTAGTTACCCAAAATAGGGATCTTTTGTCCAATTTAACCGACCTTGTCCGTTAGATTACAATAGTGGGATCAGCTGGAAAAACTATGAGAATAAAATTACATATATATGAGTTTTGAGACTTTATGAATCAGTTATTGGAAGGTTATCAATTTTTCGCACTATTGACAGTTCGGGGCTTTTACTTTAGAAAAATTGGAAATTTGTCAAATGATTCGAAAAATTGAACAGTCTCAGTGTGAAATTTTTTGCCATGAATGATGAAGGAAAAATCAAAAATCTTGTCGAGACTTAGATAAACATGTTGCTGAAGTTCTTACCTAAATGATGAGTAGCCGATAGCTATTGCTAATAGGAGCTAGATGATTTAATATGTATTGAAATACACTGCTTGGACAAACTTGGAAATTTTTCATTCATTTCAAGTCAAAAATACTTTTACATTATTTTGATTTTAACTTATGACATTTCGTATTTATTTTTCACGTCAAAATTGAAAAGTTCTTCTTCTCAAATATTGTAATACATACAGCCAGGTTCAGTCTTCAATATTAAAATTTATACTTACTCTCAACACACAATCGAGGATAAATGGTACGTCAGAAGAAATTACAAGAAACATAAAAATTACAATATTTTTGCTTATATTTATTTGAATTAGATGAATGGTATCGGAGAGTACTCATGAAAAAACTATATCACTACAATATCAATAATGTAAACTTCATTTGAGATTACCAAGAGTACGTGATGGCGAGCGATCGCGCAGGTATACTAAACTAAATAACTATTGGATTACGATAAGCTCCTTGCCGGCCAGTGTCGTACCTATAATTAGTTTTAATTAGGGTAATAAATGGAAGATGACTTCATCGTAATTTCTTTTCATATTTCATTTAGTATTATAGGTAGTAGTACAGTTCATTAAAATGTTATATAATAAAACACTTATCCAAAAATAAACTTTTGCTAGGCGATGACACTTTTTCAGAAACACCACAAATTATTCAAACAATGCCAAACGCCAACAGCATTGGAGGACAAGTAATGATACCCCTCTGTACAAAGCATTTGTATGTCTTGCAAGAGCTGTAGTGGGAGTTACATTAAAAATTAGTTTGTGCGCATGGGGGCACGCTCGCCATCACTTTTGGCGCTTGCTACACTATTTTCATGACTTGATTAGTAATAAATAAAAATTATTCCAACCACGCAACATGAGGGGTTATTCCATAATCAGTTTCATTACAAAGATTTGTCACTTTCATTTTGAAATTCTCAGTGGATCTTTTGGATAATCTTCTCGGATGAGTTTTATTTTTTGGAAATAAATTCTTGGCAACATTGATCCCTAAATTTTTGTTTTTGGTTACTTGTCTCAAAATTTTCGATAACGTGTATCTCTTCTTTTTAGCCATTGTTTTTACCATTTCCAGGTGTTTATCGTGTCCCGGATTCAACCCTACATTATTCAATTGTTCTACATCAGTAGTATCAAGAACTGGTCGGAAAGCAGAAAGAGCCCGGGAAACCCCTACCTGAAATGAAATTGTCATATTAACGTTTTCAAAAAAACAGACAACAAGATGTGTTTTTTGAATAAGTTATAATGGATTTTCATCAAAGGTGTTTTCTGGCGTTTAATCGTATTTGAGGGTGTATTCGAAAACGATTCGTAGTGTTAACAATAAGATTCGCCAGAATGGAATGATTCAATTTGTGTCAGATGTAAATTTGAATAATAAAAACAAACTTCTCAATTTTCTCTAACCTCAATTAGAATCGGATTTTGGCATACAATGTTTTGCATTGATATTACAAATGTACTTGTGATGGAAGATCAGTTTGATCTTCCCCTTGAAGATGATCACTTTGTGATCGAAACACGTGTCGAGGTGTTAAAATAACGGTTTGGTGTTGGGAAAAAACTTCAGTAATATTCATTTCAAATGTAGCTGCATATTTTAAACCAGTGTACCAGAATTGTTTTTTGTATTCAAAATATGGACCAACAAGTAGCTGTTTTGACAACTGACGCAACGTAATGTCAAATTCCTCTTCAAAACTAACCTCACGCTAGTTTTGAATCATGTTCAAATCATAGTTGATGTGACGTCATTGTTTCAACGCCAGAAGGAATGTATTTCAACCACAAGACGGATACGTTTTAAATACATCAGCGCCAGAAAACGCCTCAAGTATCAGTCAGTTCTATCATATGATAGTATTTTTTTTCAATTTCAAGTCAATGAAGCTTCAATATATTCAGAATGATAAAGTCAAATACTATTAAAAAAGTACTACTAAATATCACTAACTACATTTACTTGTCCGTGCTTGACCAAATGTTCTGTTAAGTCTGCACCCAACAGTTCTACGTGGACATCCATTCTGATTGTTATGAATTTATTTATTATCCATAATAAAATTACAGTTGATATAATGCCCCAAGATAGTAAGCAAAGGGCTGTTAGACATTGGACTCCAAAGAGATACCAGCCTCCACCTGGAAATAGTATTTTCTCATTAATGTTCATCATTACCATGATTCCTGGAACAGTTTTTTCATTAAAAAAATATTTTGTACAACTGCTATAAAAACATCAATGAACACAATGGAAAAAAACCTGAAAGTGAATAATTTTATACATTTATGTGAAATTTGTTTGCATGGTTTAGACTATGTGAAAAATATGGTGTATTTAATATTTTATTCATACACCGATATCTTCGCTATAAAAGAGGGTTCCAAAGCGCCAACAGTTTCTGTAAATCTGGATTAAGGAGGCCATGGTTTTCGGTGGTAGTCTGTCAGATGTATTTTAAAGTATTGAGCGAAAGTTAATTTTTGTAGGGATATCAAAGTTTTTTTATAGACTTTTTTGATAAAGAAGTATCATTCATAAAACCTGTTCCGAACATGAACGCTCATCCAAATTCTTTCGTGAATTCAACAATAAATGCAATAGAAAATAAATAATTGAAAATCAAATGACCCTACAGACAGCTTCACCAATTCAACAGCCACCAATTCAACAATCACCAATTCGACCATTATTAATTCAACAACCACCTACACCTTTCACAACTAACGTTACACTTCATAATACATGACTACTTGGAAAGATAAGGCCGATCTGAAGATAAATATGATGCTAGAACTTCTTATAAAACAAAAAATACACTGAGATCTATACTCACACATAGGTAATAGGTACAAAAATCCAACAACACAGAAAGAAATATAAAAAACTTACATTCATAGATATTCTGTTCTTTTGGTAAGAGTTATAATGGGCAATTATTAGGATCAACATTTGCAGAACTAATTTTGAAATCAGACAGTTAACATCGAGTTGAATGGAATACCTACTCCTCCCGATTTTAAAGAAAATGACAAAAATTTGGCGCTAGTTATTTTACCACGGTCTGAGGGAACATAAAAGATATATCAGCAGATTCAAAAAAAACCAAATCATCCTCTGAATTGGTGTTTCAACCGTTTTTAAACTATTTTGACTTTTCAAAGAAAATTGCTGATAAACAAGCTTTAATAATTGTAACTCTCTTGATATGTTATTTTTGATACCAATCAGAAAATTTGAAACTATCACTTTTGGAAGAAAGTTGACTCTGGTAATTTTTTTAAACCAGTATTATCAAAAATAAAAATCAACTAAACCTAACCTAATCTCCGAAAGGGATGTATTCAAATGTTCTCATTGATGGCAATGATCGCATATCAAAAGAGATGAAATTATGAAGTTTCATCTAAATATTCCGATTGGAAGGCTAACGGGTAGAATCAAATTTTCTCATTGGTAGCAATGTTTAATAACAAAGATGAACATACGAAGTTTGATTGGAAAATTCCGATGGTAAGGCTTTGACAGGCAAATATTTTGAAAAATCACATTGGTAAACTACCCCCATATATAAGGGTGGATTTCATTGCTTTTTTTCTGGTCAGAAAAGTATTTTCTCCCGTAATAATTTCAAATTAATGAAATTTCAATTTGGTTTCCAAATCAGGAAAGACAGAATCAATTTACTCTGAAATAGGTAATTATTTTGATAACGGCAAAAACCAAAAACCACTAACCACTGTATCATAATACAGTTTTCTTCACTGGCTTTTAGTTAAACTCAAAATATATAAACAGCACACCTTTTATTAAACCGCTTCTTCCATTCGTTGTACCCAGAGGATAAGGATTTTCAGCAAATATTCCTACTGCAATAATTCCTAAAAAGGTATATATGATGAAACAATTATATGTCATACAGAACATGTTGCGAATTTAACTTTCTTATTCTACCAATTGAACGATTTGTGTAGGTACCTAGTTACTGTTTTTTTTTGTTCGAAAAGAAATCTAAAAAAAAAGTAATTATTGTGAAATTAATATGTTCTTTGTCGAATCAACAGTAAACAGATTTTTTTAAACTATCGAGGATATGTATCAATATTTTTCATTTTATTTTCAACCAAGATAGCGCGCGCATTTATATTTGATTGGGATCCAATGAAGAAGATAAAATTATTTCCTTTTCCTTTACAAATACTTTTGAGGTATAGGGAAGATTCAAATTTTTTAATCGATATCCTAACACTAAAAAAACTTGTATCAAGCCGTAGTATGTGTTCCTTCCCGAAAGATAGTCAACTATTTGACAATAGAAAATCGTCCAATCTTGGAGCAGTTATTTTCCAGAAAATTGGTTGTTCATAGCGTGGTTTGTCGAAATTAAAAACGGAAGTCGAAAACATTTCATGTTTTGTCATGAGACAATACCATTGTCGAAATCTGAAAAAAGCAATGTTCAAAAAGCATATGTTGTCTCCACAGTACCCATTTCTGCATGAGAGTGGAACGGGTTCCATTGTTTGTAAAAGTGCAGGTGCTCGAATGAAATGAATGCCATTTGATACAATAACATCTCAGTTTTCATTGGAGTTTCTAGAATTATTCAGCGTCTCCAGGAACGCGGACCAGGCCGTTTGTGAAATTTCATTTTATTCAAGTATAGGAACCCGAAGTCGAAACACCAAATATGAAATTGTTTTTCTGTTTTTTAATTATGGGCTAGTTCACTTTTACATCTTTTGTTTCCTGTTTTTACCTTTCATTTTATTATTTTGGTTGAGCAAATACTCATCGTCCCCTTCAGTCATAGATGTTTTGTGGCGCTCATGTATTCAAAATAACGTATTTGTCTGCGATTCAAATACATTCGTTCTGGCTTTGAAACGATGACGTCATATCAACTAAGATTGAAACGTATTCATGATGATTCAAAACTAACGTGAGATTGGTTTTGAAACGGAATTTGCCGTTACGTCAGTTGTCAGTTCCTACTTTATTTTGATGTAGTTTATAAAATGCTGAAAACTTTTTTCAATTACGCTTTAAGGGTGTAAAAAATAAATCTGGGAAATTATTACTTGCACATATCTGATTATAATTGAGGTTAGAGAAATTTGAAAAGCTTTTTTCCTACTCAAATTGAATCCTACTACGTCCTACTCAAATTGAATCATTTCATTCTGGCGAATCTTATTATTAATGACGTCAACACGAATCGTTTTTGAATACACGCTTAAATACGATTAAACGCCAGAAAACACCTCATAACTACAGAAGGGACAGTTGACAAGGGATTATATGCCTAATATCTATTGGTTTTATGTGTATTGAGATTGGGTTTTATATTATATTGAACTTTGTTTTCTTCAGTTATTTTCAATATCTTACACCATTTCATTCCGTAATATTCTATACTAGGTGCACATCATGCCTAACTATATTTGCACACAGTAAACGAAATGGTACATGAAATCGGTCAAACGAATCTGTAGCCAAATAGGATAGAAACATGTAATGTCCATTTCTCAAAAAACATGTACAAGAACTTACAAACGATTTCAATAAAATTGAGTTGATCAGTGAAGAAAGGTAGTTTTGGTTTCCCATATTTCTCTCTATAATAATGGCTTTCGCTACCATTGAGGCGCATTAGGCCATATTTATTTTTATATTTTGAACATCGGATTCAAGCAAAGTGACGTACAGAAGCACATGAATCTAATAAAAGTTTTACCCCAAATACCCCCAACGCCATGGACAGCACTGGCTCCAACAGGGTCATCTACGCCTGCCTAAGAAAATGGACATATCAAATTAAATAAAGATGTATAAAGATATTCACTTACCAAGTCAAAAAGAGGCATAGAGCCACATACTAATAGAGATCCGATAGTCCCAATTAAGGCTGCTTCCCAACCTTGAAAGTTAATATACACAGAAGATGTGAAAATAAATTTACTTTTTCTGTAGCGATACTTTGAAGAAAGAGAAGTATCATTGATGTAAATTAGAAAATCGGAGGTTTATTAGTCTGTTCACAAAACAGATGAAGTTATATAGTTGTAAGAGAATGCAACATTCGCATAATTTTTCACAGGTCCAATATTATTGATGGTCGACCATTTTCAGACAGGAAACCTCATATTTCACTCTTATTTGTACCATCATGTCTTTGCGTTTGTATATTTTCATTTTATTCTCTGCAAAAATTGAGTTTTGATAGTATTGTGTGAATCTGGACTTTAACTTTGTGAACATGTAAACTACACATGATCACTTCATCTGTTCGGTGAACGGACTATATTAAACTTCATTCACCTTTATAAAGGAAGCATCCTGCTGTTATGGACACAAGAGATCCAAGAATTCCATTAATAATATCGATAGCATCAATTTTTCCTTTCATTTTGATCATAGTATAAAAAATGCTTGCTGTACCGCCTCCAAAAGTAGACATCATCGTCATGACTGCTGCTCTAGCGGCATAATGCCATTTTTCACCACTCAACTGAAAAACGCCACTACATTATCGTATACCTACTGTCATATAATAAATATAGGATGTAGGTATAGTTTATTGGTCTTTAAGTAGTCAGTTGACTTCCCTAAATACTCGCAGATGTGTGATGTTACTACTTACCCCATAAGTACTACCTGAATTGAATGCCAACCAACCCCACCATAATACGAAAAGACCCATAACAGCGTTCACAGGATTCCCCAAAGGTAAAGGGGCAATTCCAGCATCGTACCTTCCCAGACGGGGTCCCAACATTAGCGCACTGGCAAAAGCTGCACTTCCACCTATTAGTGAAGGAATAAAAGTGTATTACCTGTCTCAAATCAAATTACCTACTTTGTAGGTAATATACTGGCATGAACGAATTGTTTTTTCAGATAATTTGATTTACAGCCAGTCTCCAAGTATGCCCACTCATTTTGTGTAATGAAACGTCTGTGAGGCAATAAAAACCATAGATTATCTATTGCTCACGGTACTGCTTGATAATATTGAATAAAACCTTGGTTATGAACAATTGGCCTGTAGCTAATTAATAGTTTCTATTTTATCAACTGACTAGCGACTCTACTGGCGCGCACACACAAAAAAATTGATATTTATGTACAAATTTTTTATACTTTGGGTCTTCCAATTTTATTGAAATAAAATAGTCCACATTACTTGCTGATAATTGAGCTTCGCATAAGTGAAAGAATTTTTAAAATCGATTAAGATGATTTTTGAGATTATCAATTATAAACAATCAACAAATCGCATCTATTTATTAGGTTAGATTAAATATGCGAATGTATGGCTCAGTGAATTATGTTTTACGGTTATTTAATGAATAACTTTCATTGGTATGAGTAGTGTTCTATATCAAGCATTTGGTTAAATTATAATAGTTTCAGGATAGGTAGGTATGCACTTCGAATTAAACTTTGAAAATAGGCATTTTCATCACAATTTTTTTCTTTTTTCTGTGCATATGCGTCAGCATGAGCTTAGTTTTTCATAGTTTTTTGTAAAGAAATGATTTAATATATCTTAGGTATAACGAATCACATCAGAACAAGTTAGAAAAAAGAGCAAAACTATTTTACTTTTGTGTGTCCTAGTTGAAAAAAAAATTAAAGATTATTTGTTTGAAAACTATAAAACGGTGTTATAGAGTAAGAGTTTTAAATCATTTGAAATCACTGTTTTATAAACTTTTAAAAACCTTGTTAATATCGTTAAAAATAATTAAATGAAGTAAAGTGTGTGGCTGAAGTGATACTGGTTTCCGATCGAATATAGAAAATAGATACACCAATCAATAATGTATTTTATAATATATATAATAATGATACATATTTTCAGCATTATGACCCTAAAGTTAGCGTTAAAATTATAATTACTCTTTTAAATATTATGTATGATTGGTGATCAATTTCTAATTTAATTTTGAAATTTTTGCTATTGGCGACAATGAAATGTTATAACTTATTAAGAACACTTCTCCAACAAATTAACGAACCACATTGAAATTTCAAAATATTTTGTTTGCGTTAATAAAAACTCCTACTACAATGTTATATTTGTCAAATCCCTCGTATATGCAATTTGTGAATGCGATATATTTCGACTATGGTTCATGCTTTAGTTTTTATCCGCAAAAATATAAAAAAGAAGCACGAAGTGTACCTACCTATTTAGTTCGCAAATCTGAACGAGTTTAAGACGTGTATTTATTCGATTACCTACTGTTTACTTCTAAAGGATTCTTTTTTGTATTTATTATGGAGCGTCAATCACGTAATTTAACCCGTGATGAATGTGCCCAAGCACTAATACTTTGGAAGAAGGCTGGAGTTACCGACGAATTACTCCTCAATTCAATGTGTCCCACACATACATCACACGTATCTTGCAAAGATTCCGTGAAACATGCGATCATGCTCGTAGATCAGGGTAAGGACGAAATCGAGTAACTACCCCTATTCAGGATGGATGTTTGAGGATTTTAGCACTTCGACAACGATTTGTTACACATCAAAGTCTACAAATTCAGTTTCGTAACGTGCATGCTATACAAATCACTACGGAAACTGTTCGCCAGCGACTTGGGAAGTACAACATATAACACCTAGGATTGCAGCCCGGGGCCCTCTATTAACTGCAGACAATCGTGAGGTGAGACTAAGTACGTTTTGCCAGGGAACACGTCAATTGGTTAGAGGCTGACTGGGTACGAGTGTTGTTCACCGATGAGTCCCGATTTTGTTTACACAATAACGACAGACGTGTGTTACGACGTCCCAATGAACGATATGTAACTTTTCACAAACCACATTATTTGGTGGAGGCTCCTTTATGGCGTGGGATACTATTTCTTTGACCGCACATACGGACCTCGTGGTTATACACAATGGGTCCGTTACAGCTTAAAGGTATGCAATGGAGATCTTGGAGCAACACGTAGTACCATTCGCCCCTTATATCGGCGAAAATGTCTTACTAATGCAAGACAACGCCAGATCCTATGTTGCACAGATAGTCAGAATTTACCTCGAAGAGGTTGAAATTAACATCATGGCAACTTCTTTCCAACAATATTTTGTTTGCAGTTTACTTTTACGTCAACCCTCGATTGGACACAGTAGAGGAGAGTGACCAAATATGTAATACTACTTTGTTTATTAGACATAATTTGCCCAAAAGTTACAAATAAAAAACATTTTGTAGTCATTAATAATAATCATATATTTACGCTTCATTTTGTAACAAGTGTTGGTTACATTAACTAATTTTAAATAAAATTTAAATAAAAAACTAAATAATGATAAAGGCATCTAAATGTGGAATAGGTACCCCATGTGTGGAATACTATAAACACTATGAAATTTTAACTTTGACTTAAACGATATTCTTTGGAAACATTGGTATAACATAGAAAGGAACACAAATTTTTTGCAAAAATCATAAATTCAGGCATCATACTCTGGTTCTGGATTTTTTTTCTTTGGACATTTATTTTCTTTCTTTCTATGAGGTCGTTCTTGTAAGATGAAGATGTGATGACTGCTGCAACAGATGTTTTTTTCTCTCTTTCAGAAGGTTTACTTTTCTTTTTTGGTACTGGAGAAACTACTGTGAGAAATTCCGGAAGTTGAGGGCACAAGTTCAATATTTGTATCTTGTCTGGATGTAGAAACTTCAGTTAAAGGCTTACTATCATCAGAGGTGTTCTAAGATTGGCCATCAATTCTTCTGAAGGTTGGAAACTTGTCATTGGTGTAACGTCGACTGTGCAACCATCTTCAACTGCATCTTGTTCCGTTGGCTGCTATCTCACCCTTTTTTACTTTTAAATAAGCCCTACCAAATAGCTCCACAATATCATATAAGGGCTTAGTGCAGTGTTTCTCAAACTTTTCGAATTCACGGCTCCTTTATGTTTTTTGAAGGTTATCGCGGCGCCCCGAACATAAAGACTATACTAGATATTTAATTAATAAAAGTAGGTAGGTGGCTGTCTGAACGGATTGCATTTTGCAATTATCGATATTATCATATTATCAGAGGATTTTATTAATAGGTACCGACGTATTACCTTTACTCTCAGTTATCTATGTTGTAAAACGTTGAGACTCACCAGTGGCCCACGGCGCCCCACTTTCAGAAACACTGGCTTAGTGGTCTATTGTTGTCTCTGATCCACATTCGTATTTCTTCACTGTAATACGTTTTGAGAGGTCCCATAAACGTTTTGTCTAGTGGCTGGAGCTTGTGGGTTGTGTGAGGAGGTAAGGACAGAATGTCTACATTATTTTTCCTAGCAAGTTCTATCACGTCGATGTTACGAGTATGGGAAAAATTACCATCTAAAATCAGTAATACTTTCGATTCCGGAATAGGGTTGGTATGTTTAATAGGAGGTTTGAACCACTCAGTAAATATGCTCATTTGGATCCATCCTGACGGATGTGCAATGCCAACAGTGCCTCTCATTAGCTGATCATTAATATTCTTACGAGGGAATTTAATAAAGGGAGGTACAAAATGACCAGTAGCGTTCATATCAACAGCAATTGTCATAAATGAATCCCTTTCAGCTGAGGTTAGTGAAGCTATCTGCCGTTTCCCTCTATGGGCAACCACTTGGGTATCTTGCTGTGTAACACGGTAGCCCGTCAACATGATATATGCGGTTTGGACTATATTTTTCTTGGGCATAAGGGCCTTTAAGAAGATTAAAGAATGTGTCTACTTTTTCTTCGCTGAATCCAAATGCTCTAGCAAAAGATGTGCCAGTTGGTCTTCTCACTGATAGTTTGTCCTTATGGCGCTTAAGAAATAGCTCAAGCCATTTATTTTCAGCCAATCCTGTGTCACCAAACGGATTTCTCAACTGATTACAGCTTGCCAACATGTACGCCATTCTTCGAACATCGCTTCTCGTCAAGCCGTGAAACTTGCTCTCCATAGTTAAAATGTAGTCCATCAAAGTATTTTCAAGAGTTGTCCCTAAAACAGTTGACCTCAGTGTAATGTAACTGCGGCTTATTTTGGCGGTAGTTCGTTTTTCTGGCATAATCGAAACAAGGTAGACCTCGGCACACCAAAGTGTTTTGCAGCTCACAATCAACTCATTTTTTTCTCTCTTACTAATTTAATAGCTTGCGCCATGTCCTCTGGATTCCAGTCTTTTCGTTTTGTGTTTGAGATATCATTCTAATGAAAAATACTTTCAATTTATAATTAACGCAATCATCTAATACTCAAAAGAACCAATTATGGAATATTCCATAATTGGATACTATGATTTGTCCATATTTGGATTTTCCAACTACTTAAAACTGACATTTATATTTGATAAGTTAATACAATGAAATACCGCTAAAACCCACAAAAGAACATCTAAATAATGTCTACAAAGGTATAACAACAATACTGTGTGCATTTTTTATGCAAAAAATAGTGTTTTTTACATACCTCAGAAAGTTATGCGACAGCGACACAATATACAGCTACTGTGAAGAAAGGGCTCGCTCGACTAACATGTTATGACCTGTACGCGCGAACGCGGATACGTAGAAAGTGACGAACACTGTTTACTGCGTGTGTCACTTTCCGTTTGATAGAAATGCCTGTATTCCATATTAGGGATACTATTCCATATACGGTCACTCTCCTCTACTACGATTACTAATACTATGTAGGATCCTGAAAATGTTTCATTTCTCCTCTGACTAAATAAAATTGATTCATTGAAGTGGTGCGTTAATTCCTTGGAGAAGTGTTTTAATATGTATAACATTACGATAACTTACTCACTAGATCACTAGGACAATTTAGCGACCTTATGAATTGTTTACAATTATGTACAAAATTTACCAATTAGGTGCACAGCTCCTGATCCTGCAATGTCAACAGCTCCAAGAGCCTTTAAAAATCCGTGGTCGCCCCATATCCAACCAGCAGGGATACAATATATTGCAGTATTCAGAAAACTGAACATACAGTACGCTTTAAAATTACATCTGAAACCAACACAATATAATCCTCATTATATTTTTTTGTAGAACCAAATTTCAAATATTTTAGTTCTTATTTCTATTGAATATTGAAATTCAAACAGAATATAGGTAATAAAAGAAACATTCTAATTCTTATTTACATTAATATTTATATGAACATTCTAGCAATTGCTAATATTGAAAGATTTCAATTTATTTGAAATGCTTGGTATATTCAAATGCCTTTTGTTGAAGTCAGGTTTTCTTGCCGAATTACAACAAAAGTTTTGTCAATATGTGTTTTGGAATCTGGTATATTTTCACATGTCTTCCTTTGTCGTTGTGTATCATTTTGTCATGTAGCAGACGCACTCTCTTAAAAACCATGTTGGACAGTTTAGGATGGTTAGCAATTAAAGATTATCTGTTATACCAGACACTTATTTTCATTTCTAAAATCAAAACAAGACCTAAATACTCAATTGATAAAATAAGTTACAATTTTGAACTGCACCAATACCTAACCAGATCAAGAAATTGCTTTCACTTACCTCTAATAAGGACAAAGACTTCTCAAAATTCTGTCATTGTTAGAGGACTCAAAGTTTTCAATGATTTAACCCCAGAATTGAAGGATATATACTCTATTGACCTTTTCAAAAAGTTATTAAAAATTGTATGATGGAAAAACGTAATGAGACTTGACGTTTATTTTATAAACACACAGTATCTATATTTGTTGTGTGACGTAAACTTCTAGTTTAGAAACTTTTTATATATATTTTACTTTTTCTATATGACGACATTAATTTTATTTTTATATTTTTTATGTATTCGCAAGATTTTATGCTAATATATTGGAGACGAGATGTAAATTAGTAATTAACAATTTTGTATGTATGTGTGTGTATATGTATGTTGTATCATAGCACATGTATGTATATATATGTTATTGCTTTATGACAATCTACAAGTGACAACAAATCAATTTTATTTTTAGATTTTATTGATTTCTTTTAAAATTGTTACTCACTGAAATGTATTATTAGTCTTTGACTAAATAAAGGATTTATATATAAAAAAATCTTATATAATATCCTCACCCGTCTGCATTGTGAATATCATAAATGAACTTGTTATCACCCAGTTTGTGTCCTCGGGATTGATATCATACAACCATGGTATAGTTTTGGTGGATTCATTTGTCTTCGATTCGTCCATGTTATTTGAATTTACTAGTTGTAATGAGGTAGATTTTAACCGCTACATGTCATTGTTGTCGCATTTTTCTCGGGTAAACAAGTAAATATTTGATTGCGGTAGTCTTCACATAATTGTACAGCAATCTTCTTAATTCATAATTGATCAACCCTTGTATGTTGCGTTCTGTTTCTCATTATGTATATATAAAAATTTAATAGAAATAATAGGGTAGTTTGGAACACTTTGTTGGAAACAGTGATTAAAGAACTGACATTCAACACTTTTCTTTGTCAGGGTGCAAGATGATTATCAACTGCCATGCAAATTCAAGAACAGGAAAAAGACCAGAAGTCCTTGTATTGTCCAGCTATTCCTGGATTTCAGTTCATACTTAAAAACAATGTAAAGTCCTACTTGCATTCAAAAATCAAAATCCACAGTTCAGAAATAACTTTCGAAATTAATGATTTTACAACTTTGATAATTGATTCATTGAATCATAAAAAAAAATAATAGTAGCCCTTCTGCACCCTCGAAAAGATTAAAACTTTCTACTACCTTCCTCATCATCATGCACCTGGGATTAGAATTTCATATTGAAAGGGTAGTATCAATTAGAAGGTTCAAAGAAAACGTTGTGTATTGTCATATTTTATATTGGAAAACATCAATTCTCCGAGATACATAGAAAGTAGAAACTTTGACAAATTAAAAACCTTATATACAAATATATTACATCTTCTATTATTGTTTCTTCACTCATAACAATTTCAATTTACCAAGGGTAATAGAGAGACATTCATCAGCTCGAACATTGATATAAATCAGCATGAAAACAGTTTCAAAAAACTAAAGGCAACACTTGAGTAACATTAAATTTTATTTTAAATATTTACATAAATTACAAAGTCAATGACAGAGAGAAGGCATTGTTTTAACAAATCTTTTGTTGAAAACATTTTCCCTTCAGTTGTTGATAATTGTGGTCATACACTGTTAATAAACGTTTTGATAATGACATGCATCGTGAACCACAAAATAACCAAATTATAATCTAAATGGTAATCAAAATATGTATATTACAGTTGCTTCATAAATAATAACAAATAAATAAAATTAAAAAAATGAAAAGACAACCATAGTCATAATTCAAAATAATAATATCGGATGAAGAATTCATTTTTATTGATAATTAAGCTACATAACTGTACTCTTCACTTGAATGAGGAGTTCTCTCTATGTACTGTTTGTCAATCAACGATTCGATACATTTCTTGATCAACTGAATGCTGGGTGCAAATGATACTTTCGACTGAGAATAGACCTGTAAACAATATCAATAAACTGTTAAATCAATCATTAAAATTCTCTATAATGGACGCCCAACATGGGGTCTCTATTATATCAAGAATATCAAGTAAGATCCATCCTAAAATAATTGAATAATATATTATGGAACCATTTTATCAACATTATATAAAATTAACTTGAGAGATAAAATAACGCAAGATGATTTCATTTAAAGAATTAATTTTTATTGGCAATTGAGCCACATAACTGTAGTGTTCACTCGAATAGACTTCACTCAATGTATTGCTTGCCGATCAACCAATCAATAAATTTCTTGATCAGTTCAACTGAGAATAAACCTGTACAAAATAACCAAAACGAGTGGCAGAAGGAATGGCTCCAGACGAATTCGAAACTAAACGAAATAAAGCCATCCGTTAAACCCTGGACACACCTACCAAAAACCAGAAAACACCAGGTAATCCTCTGTCGACTTCGTATTGGACATACCAAATTTAGCACGATTTTCTTTTATCACGCGAGGAACAAACTATCTGTGATATATGTGATACAGCAGTAACTGTGAAACACGTTCTTCAAATTTGTCCCAAGTATCAGGAAGCAAGAATAGAATTCGGAATACCGAACTACGAGAAACTCTTAGTGACACTTGCAGTATTGAAAATCTCATGTCATTCTTGACAAATATCAATATGTATCATTTAATTTGAACACAATAATCATGTAATGTGAAATGTAACGTAGCGCTAATAACCCTAGTGGTTGATGCGCTTATCTTGAAAAAAAAAAATTATATTATCTTCAATTATATTATCTCATTTGGCGATCTCATTCAAGGGAAAGCTATGAAATGGGGAGTGGTTTAAAGTTAACTTGTAACAGAATCTCAGAAACCCCAAGAACATGTATAATTATCCACAAAATATAACAGGTACTTGCCGCAAGTCAAATTAGAGGTGGCTGGTGCTGGATGACCTGAGGATATCAACGCTGGATCAGCGTATCTCCCCTACAATAGTCCAGAACTGTCAAAAACCAGGGATGAGAATGAGCTAGCTAGGGCCTGCCGAACAGACAGATCACAGATCATAATTGGCTGTATTGCTAATGCACACAACCTGATCTGAGGGATTGCTGACATCAATGAAAAAGGTGTTTATTATGAACCATGGAATATATCTATTGAGAAAAGCTGATCAGATCAAATTAGAATACTCTCTAATTTGAAAATGGAAGATTTTTTACTTTGATTGTATTGAAACCCCTGAAAATCCAACTGGGAAGCCAATAAGTCAGAATTGTGAACTTGTTTAGACCAAAAATGAGTGGATAAACATTTTTATAGACAGCCAGGTTACGCTCATGCCACTAATGTACCCAAAAATGTCATCTGGAGTCAATCAATCAATCAATTTATTAGTTAAAGAAGTATTCAAGAAATGTTCAATTGCAATAGAGGAGCCTACATTGTAACATACTAACTTAGGTAACAAAAGACACCAATCAACCTAACATTAAAATTAAAATCAAAACTAGACTATCAGTCAAAAAGGAGTATTTGTAAACAAAAGAATAGTACTTATAAACAGAAAAATATGCACAAATTACAATTACTAGCACCATAGGGGATAAGGTGTCAAGGATCATCAGCTCCATATATTAACCCTGAACCAGCTGTGGGGTACCATAATCTATGATAGGAAACTATATCAGGAAATGAGTCAATAAGAAACGAAAGTAACGAGCAAATGCATCTTGGAACACACACCGGAAAAATCTTTATAAAGGAATGTCTGAAAAAATAAATGGAGAACTGCTTCAACACAGCAATGATTGTCTAATAATAAACATAGAGCTACTCGACATTGTCACCTGAATTGAGTCCTTAGCTGCAGGTATTGCAAGAAAGGTACAAATAACAGCTAAAATGATGAGGTACTGGATCATAGAAGGCAAGCAATGCTCAATCCAAATTATGTCCAGCAGAATATGACATATAAAAAAATTACTAATATGAAATTAAAACAGCGTTATTTGGTATAGTATTCTGGGCACTGGTTTCGTCTAAACTTGGACAAGTTCAATATTATAAGTAATTTTCCTTCGGGTAAGCCAAATAATTATTTGATTTGCTATGTAAATGAAACATGCATTCTTTCTGAAAATAGATTTTTTTGTGTCTTCTTCAGATCGTCACATTTCTGGTCATTGTATTAACAATACCAGTCCAAAATTTGAAATTTGAGTAAAGTTGTATTTTATTCATATATCCAAATTACATCCCTGAGATGAGCTGATATTTTTTCAACAACAGCCTGATTTGACATACCTCCTGAATCAGAAGATTGTGCTTGAGGACTTTCCTGGATTTCATTATTCTGACGATAGCTGCTTGCAGGTACATTTTTCTATCTTCCTCTACTGAATTCAATGTCTGTTCTACTTCGTGGGGTGTTTCTTTTTGAATAGCAGCTGTAATTCGGAATTTGGTTCTTTTATTGGAGTAATCCATATTCAGCCTGAGGGTGACTTCTGAGGAAAGCTCCTACAAGTCTAAATTCTAACAAACTCTTGATTACAAGATTAAAATACTCACCTCCGAGTCTGCCAAAAGAAGTTTCGAATCTATAAGACTAACAATATGTCTGTGAAAATGTTCGTTATTCAGCTGTAATGTCTCCTTGATATCCTTACATGTCAAAGAGTCTGTGTTTTCAAATAGTAGCAATATTGCCATCTGGAAAGTCTGAACGGTGACAACATATGATTTTTTCAGATGACCAAGTTTAAGTTCAGCTTGACACAGGTGATGCAACCAAGTTAATTTCCTGCCGTTGAATCTGTTGTGATAGAAACTTTCAAACTGGAAAGGAATAAATGAATATAAGCTGGATAAATTTTAGATTTAGATCAAATGTCATGTTAATTTCAATAAGTAACTGTTACCTATTTCCTTTCTATTGAAATAAGTATATAAAAATTAATGATACATTTTGAATAGAATAGAATTACACATCAATAATGTTACTACTTGAAAGCCTATTTTCCTATAAGTGCAAACTATTTAAAATTTTATGAAACTCGTAATTTCACTGCACCTCTCGAATAGATTATACAAATTGATTTAAAACATACTGACCATTTGTACACTTTTTTCCAGCTGTTGAGGCAGTGAGAATGAGGTGACAATAGCCTGTCCAAGTGGCCAAGCCCCAGCTTGCAACACATATATGCTGAAATTGATTCCTAAATCTATATTGTCTTGCTTCAAAATCGATCCAAACTTATTATTCAGATCAGTGCTAACAGACATGTCAGTGAACATCCTATGGAGTTTGCTGGTGAACTCATAGCCACAAGCCTTAAAAAAATAACTTTTATTAAATGCATTCAAGTGATTGTCTAAATCAAAAATTATTTATGGATTTATGTATCAAAGTATTTTTGGTTACACATTAACTTCAACATGTATATACCTGCTTCAGTCTATTAATCATGGCCTCCTCTGCATCCATACTCTGTGTCTGCTGATGGATTAGTCTTTTTGCTAACATTCGAGAGTAAAATTTCTGGAAAACGTCTTTATCATCTATGTATTTGAAAATTATTATACTTTCAGCCAGTTTTTCGTCTACCTGAAAAGTATAGTCGAAGTAACTGATATAGTAATCTTAAAGGTGTCGGCGAAGTCAAAGGCCAAAAAAACCAATACAAAAAAATTATGCCGCAACGAATTAGTCCACGTGGACTGAAGAATTAGCGGTTCGTATTGGATAATTTTTACTAACCGAGTTTTATGATTGGCTGAAGAGTCATAAAATTACATTTGAAGTCATGTTACGGTGACCAACAGAATGTAGCGATGAGTACAGCCGTTGTGTGTGTTATTAAAGGGGAACTGCTGGAAGGTAGGGGGCACTATATCTTTTACTTGAACTATACCATAGCAACAAAAAGAAAATAAATAATTTGAAAAAGGAGCCGAAAATTTCTAATGCAATCAACTTTTATTTCATTTTCAATTCTTCTTTATTTATTATTTCAATTTCTATTTTTAGTAAATTAAGACAGGAATCTGCGTTCTTATAAAAACTCTCTGGTAATGTCAGTGTTTTACTGGTGGTAGTTCTTGTTCTTCTAGTTATAACTTAGCTAAGAAAGCTTTTCAGCTTTCTTTTGGACTCGGTAGTAATATTTTTTTAAATATAATTCTTACAATCACAAACCTTTTTTCAAGTAATAACTACTGGAATATAGATGTATTTGCTAAAAATTTGGTCATCATATTTTATTCAGTACGAAACCCAATGTTTCCACAAAAGTTTTAAGGCATATTCGATTGGAAAAATAGTAGGTGAAAAAGAGAAGAGAAAAAAAAAATGAATATTTTCATAAGTCAGCTTACAACCGGTTACACTCGGTTTAGAAAAATAGATATTGCCAATTTGATATGTATTAGATGATCTTTGATTTGACGTGGACTTATATGTTAGGTGGACTGTTTTAAAGATGAATATGGAGCATCGAGTTAATAATCCACGATTGATAAAAACATGGTGCAGTGAGCCATTGGCTTACTTTTGCAAACGTACCAAACTGCTCTTTTCTGAGGCAGAAATACTGAATTCATTAACTGCTTCTTTCAGAACTACCAATATGAATTACTGTATTGCAGGTGTGATTCCTTAATAACAATATTCCTCTTGTTGAAATCATTTTTATACAATAACAAGGAAGACGTCAATGGACCTATAATTAGAATTACAATTATAGGTAAAGACACAACACATTAATTTTAAATTTAAAAGTAATAAATGTTGAAGCCATTTTTTTGTATGAGAAATATTTTCAGCTTTGAGTTGAATATGAATAGATTTGGTGTATTTTTTATTGAAATATCTATTTTGTTGAGTAGTTTCAGCTTTAGGTGTAGCAGTGGTATTTCAGTGTGGTTCAGACAACATCAAATCCCTAGCTCTAGAGGGTAAGCTGGTTCGATGAAATCTGCATAGCAGATTTCATCGTCATTATTATTATTGAAGATGAGACAGATTTTCAATTCCTAGGCTAAACAACTTAAAACTTCAACAATGCTGTTTTACTGAGATTCAAAGTTGAGTAATTTTTCTTGGCTCATATCATCACTATCATATATTGTGTCCGATATTTCAAAGAGTGTTACTTTACATTGAAAAGTGATACTAATGTTTATATAAACATCATATGCAGCAATGCATACTCCTGAGAGACTGAAGATGATATATCAGGTAACTCACATATATTAAAAAGAGGCCATTCAGTCTGAGTTGAAGCTCAATTCCTTAGTTATCATTATGACTGCCTAGCAAGTAGCCTGAGGGTTCTTTTTTATCAAAACTTCTTATGTGTTCCTCAAACTTTAGCTTATCATCTAAATATATACTCAAAAATTTTGTATATGATTTGTTGTTGGTATTATGCCTGTCTAGATGAAAGTCATTAGAGATGAACTTAAATGACAATATAATTGGTTTTCTTTTTATTGAAACAAAGGTAATTTGAATCACATCATTGTTTAATCTTCATTAAGCCCTTGGAGATATTAGCTTTATGGAGTTCAATTATAAGTTAATAACACATTAGCGTTGTGTCACTCGTAAACATGGTAAATGACCCTCGAATGTCTATTTTTGATTGAGTATTTGTTTTTAACAATCCGAGTTCTGTTAGAGAGGTATGATTCCTCCTACCTGTTTGCAATTTTTCCGAACCCATAACAGTTTAGCTTTCAGAGCAGCATTGCGAGATCCACAAAATTGAAAGCTTTGGAGAAATCACCAGAACACAGCCCTGACAGAGTCACTGTCGTTCAGTTCTATATAAACTTGACAATAAAGCAATAGGTCTAAAATTAACTGGCCGATACTTGATGAAAATCTATATTAAAACTTATGAAAACTTTTCACTGTGAAATTTGTAGTGAAAAACTTTAATTAAACTGTATTAGGTTATGTTTACTCAAAATTGAATACATCTACTTACTTCTGTTTCGCTAATTCCTTTACTAGATTTCTTTAGGAGAGTATCACAGTATTTTGCCAATAGTTCTGGACTTCTACAGGAGGATCTGCCTTGATTCGGTCTGTGATTTATAACCGAATTGCAGGCCTTATCCAGAGCACCCATGAAGTTCTGGTCTGATTTAAAAACGTCCTGTATCAATTGCTTATATTTTTTATATACAGCCAAAAGGTTCTCAACAAAGTTTATGTGGATATTTTCTCCTTGTAAGTTACCGATGGCCTGGAAATGAATAATCAATAGTCAGATTTGATGTATTGCATTTCAGATTGTTAGATTTGACAACAATAAATCAGCAACTATAAAAATTGGTTCACATTATTACTTACTACTAATCCTTGAGTTTTAATGTGATCAAGCACTGTATCAACAAGAACAATCATAGCATTCTGAACACTTTTGAGTAAGTCATACATATTGGATAGATCTTTCCTCCTTTCTCCTTGAACCATATTCATACACTCGCTGTATAAAAATTGTAAATGTTCAGCCACCATATGAGTCTCGCATCTGTTGGATACCTTAAAAAGAGTCAACATAAATGCAAAAATAGTAAATGTTTACAACTGACTCTCACTTTAGGTAGAGAACTATGGTGAAGAAACCGCCTCGCTCTAAATAACTCTTCTTCTATTTTAGCCTTAACCTTTTCCATATATAAACTGACATTTCTCTCTTGTAACAAACCTTCTGCATCTCTTTTGAAATGTTCTCCACTGGCATCAAGAAAAGGTCCTTCAAATAACTCTTGATACAATTGCAACTGTCCTTTTTTTCTATAGCCCTGCATCTAGAAGAGAGTCAAGAAATGTTCAAACTCAGGGGATCTTTAGATTTGGCAAATCTTCGTTTCAACAGCCGTGCAGCTTTAAAAATATTTTTAATTACTTTTACATATTTTGTCCATTAATCAATAATCTAAAATCTAAACTTTTTCGCTCAAATCTAATATCGAACATATGGCCATTCAAAAGTAAAAAATCGACTATTTCAGGAACTCTGTATTGTTTAAAAAAACTCATGAAATTAGACTTTCCTTCAACAATTGCCTGATTCAGACCTTCATTCACTTGCCACTTCCATTCTTTTTCAATAAAAAACATTTGATTTCCTCTAATTTTTTTCCTAGAAAACTACAACATAATTGTTCATGTTGTTGAGGAGGTGTACCTTTTTTACTTGGAAAAGGTGTGGTAATTTGGTTTTTTCATGAAAAGTACCAAAAGTTTACTGTCAAAAAAGTTAGGGCAATTTGAAATAAATAATGGCAGCGTAAGCAGCGCCCTCTAGATGTTACATGAAAATTAATACGAAATTATGATTTCCCACGTCAAAAAAACCCAGGGTTCCGAATTTTGTGTAAATAACTTATTTTTTGCAAGATTAATTTTCAAAAAGCGAACAAAAAAATTAAATTTCAACACCCCGTTCTCCGAAACGAAGCATTTTCGGACACAAGTTTATATAGACTTTTTTTCTTAAAATTGTCTCAGGAATACGTCACTTGAATATTTTAACGTACTTATGTTACACCCTGTATGTTATAAAAAAATGGACATCCAAACTTCAACATCCTGTATCTTACAAATTAGTGACATATGATTGAGTTATGCCTTTGGGTCCAACAGAAGGCCGGGTACTTCAATTTGACAATATACCAGAAAATTTGACAGAACGCCATTTTCCACAAGAAAAGTGAGCCTTTATATAGCTATCGAAAGATACCGAATTTTACCTCCTTATGACATTTAGAATGCACTTTCCATAAGTGACTTCTTTGTGAAGTGTTCATTTTAAAAGAAGTCTGAATTGACACGTTACACGTTAATAAATAAGAAAGTTTATTTTGTCTTCTAGGGCAAAGCTGAATAATATTTCGATTTCTTGGCTGCGACTTTTCGTGATATTGCTAGTAAATAATAATAGTGAAGAAACCTCTTAGGAATGCAAGAGTAAAAATTAATAACAGTATAATAATGAATAAAAAAGGTAGAAGTTATTATGCTTGTGATATGAAACATGAATTAAAATCAATCCAAGGAACGGAGAATGAATTGGGGTGAATTGTAGTTTATGCCTTGAGAAGTCAAGCACTTCAACTGCTGCCTTTGAAGTCTACCACAGTAGTACAAGAAACGTCAGGCATAAAAATCTGCAGACCATGGCTAAAAACCCGGAGAAAAAGCTTTGACACAAATAAGTACTTTTCATGTCATAAAATCAAAACAATTTTTTTTTCAAAAAATTTTATTTTGCGAGAAAATGTTTCCATAAAAGTTGTCAATCTTTTTCTTTATGTATTAAAAATGTCTTAAAATCCAAAACAAGCACTTATCTCAATCACCATAAATGCAACACTCTTCTCGACGCGCGTTTCATCAATGAAGTTGGCGACATGAGGAGATGAAGATAACTAATTCCTAGCTCTAAAACTCTCAATTTGTGTCAAACAGAACGCACTTTCACTTTCCGATACACATCAATGATTTCGGGTATAAATTTGCGGGAAATTTTCTAGTGAAAGTTTCTGTTAATTCAACACAGTGATTCGTAAAAAGTAATACAATGGGCGCTATTTGGAATGGGACCTTTGTCACTGTTCATAGTTCCCATGGTACACTTTGATATTTCCAAAGTTTCGAAAGCATTCAAAAATCTAGTGCCATGTACCTCCCTTATATGGTCACCCATATACATTGTCCACATAAACAAAATCGAGTCTATACAAAGAGGCTTCATGTAATATATTACTTACAAGCTAGAAGTTTACCCTGAACAAGGCATCGACAACAGAATACTACTGAATAAATTCAATCTATTATCCCTTCAAATCCGAAGACCCTACTACTCTATAATTTTCATTTATAAACTAGTGAATAATCTGATTGACTGTCCCGAACTACTCTCCCACTTCAACTTTCATGTTCCACGAATCATTTCTAGAAATGAACTGACTTTTTATCTACCAAATTCTAGAACAAACATATTACTCAAGTCACCAGTAGTTGCAATGAGCAAACTTTACAATCAACTCTGTGAAAATCTCGACATTTATTATGAACCTATTGGTCAAGTTAAGAACCACGTTAAGAAACTTTTACACTCTAGTCAAAATACATGAGCCCAAATTGAAAGTTATTCTACCATGTGAGCTTATTACTACTACTGTATTACTGCTGAATCATGTTTTTTTTTTGTAATACACCTGAACTATGTTTTTACTTGTTAGCTCTATATCTGACTTATGTTTTTTTTCAATTACTCTCCTAGCTTGCTGCACACAAGTGTTCCACCTAATTTTTTACTTAACTCTCCTAAATGTTTACTTTATTTTATTTTTTGTTTACTCACTTCGGGTGTTTCTAGTTGATAAATTAGTACTGTATTCATGTATATGTGTGTATATATGTATGTGTATTGTGTATATAGGCAGATATAAACTGTAACATGCTTGTTAATAATATTTGTATGTCTTGTTATTGGGATATTTTCCTGTTTAGACATTAAACATTTTTTTTTCAACAATTTCTGAGTTTTCACCCATTCTATGGCGACAATACATTCTTCGAAATCGAATATGTGCTGCGTGTTCATTGAAATAAGTTTCAATTTTTCGCTTAGTCCATCTGATATATTTTTTGTTGAAGTTCTCACAGCTTATTTCATAAATCCCCGACTTTTCATTTTCCGCCATCGTCTTTAGAGTGAACTAGCATTTTTTGAAGTGAGCAAGAAGTTTTGAGTACTAGTTTCATGCTAAACTTTTTGAAAGTACGAAGTAATCTGTAAGTGTATATTGCTTCATACTGAAAGGACAATAACATTTGAATCCTTCTTTTTGAAAAGTGGAGTTTCAAAGATCCTCCCTAAATTCACTTTTCCTCATCAACTCATCTACAATAATTGAAGAATGCCTGTTGCTGTCAGCTATGTCCCTAAAAACATTTTTCTCAATATCTTACCTTTAATCAAGGGGAACGTAACAAGCCTATGAACAAGAAAGTTCAGACCTTTTGTGTCGTGGATAGTGATATCAGCTATCAGAAATATATCTGAAAGTACTGGTATTCTTCCTATGAACATCAAATTCTAGACACTGGTTACTTCTAATCAGTAGGACATCCAAGAATGGTAACTCATCGTTGTTTGTAATTTCATATGTGAACTTGATTTTTGCGGTTCTATTGTTAGGAGTGGAAACAAAGTCCTCTACCTTTGATTTCTTTGTACAGAAAACATCCCATTGAATTTCTTTTTATGAATAACTCTGTTGAAATCAGCGGGAACTTGCACAAGAAAAATTCCTGCTAATTTATACCCTAAATCATGGCTGTGAATTGGAAAGTGAAAGTGTACCCTGCTAAATATAAATATAGAGTTTTAGTTTTCTTCATCTCCTATTGAAACATACGTCAAGAAAAGTATTGCATTTCTGGTGATTAGATAAAATGCTTGTTTTAGAGTTACTCTACGCCAAATGTTCCAGTTTTGCTTTTTCAAAAAGGTGTAGAACACCTTGGAGAACACCATTTTTCATTCCTAAAACTTCACCTCATTCCATTCCTTTCAGCTTAAATCAAGTTTCAAGTTGATTTTTCCGTTATAATCACATTTCATATCCTTTCTAATGATAGTTAACATTATATATTATCAATTTCTTGTTAATTGAGAAAATTAATTAATTTCTATGGCTTTTCTTGTAACAGGCTTTTGCACTGCCCTATTACCTTACATAGCCTGAACAGACATAAAGTTATAATCTTCATACTTATTTGGGTGGTAATAAGTAGATCATTAAATTAACTGCGATTGATTTTTTTTAAAACAAAACGAGCGGTGTAGGCAGAAACAATTGGATGATTTTTTGTATTTTTAATAACTCTGATGAATATGAACAAAACTATTGTTAGGGAGATTACAATTTTCATAAGTGTTCAACCCAATTACATTTTTTGTGGAATAACATTTGTATATTGCTCAAATTCTTCGTTACAATGATAAAATTGAAAATGTATATTTCTTAAAATGTAAATACTATATCACTACATTTTTTAATGGGAAATTTTCTTTCATAAGTGTCACTGAAATCTGAAGTCATATTTGCTTTTCAACCGGTACTATTTAAAATCTAATACCCAGAAAAAAAATTATGATTTTTGCAATATCTCATATTGCAACGGTTTACAAATATTTCATCCGATGTAACATTACATTTTACAAAATTTAAAAATGATAAGAGAGTTATTTCAGTTTTCTTGGAAATTTTCTGATGATGTGGAAAAATGATTCATACAAAAGATGGTTTTCATATTTCCTACCACTTTCATATTCAACTAGTTTGTGAATACCACACAAACCTTTTTTCCACTCCTAACCCCTCATATTTCATCCCCTGTACCTTTCGATCGAGTTTTTTACTTTTCTTGTAATGAGCACTTTTTTCTATGCAAGCATTTGTATGCTGTTTTTATTTTTTTCTCTCGAAAAATTATTTGCATTTGTTCACTTATAAAGTGATGATATCATTTAGAAGATGATTCCAATAATAGGGTAACGTTGATGAAACAGAAGTTTTATACTGTGTAAGAACATGCAATACTGAAAGTAAAGTGTCACTTTACTAGTTTCTATTACCAAAAGTTATTCCTGAAATACTTGATTTTTTGACAGTTTTGACTTTCAAATGGCCGAATTTCCGAAAGTAGACTGGAGCTCCCCAAGTTTTAACATCAGTTTAATTTTTCTTTCAATAACTAGCATGTTAAAACAAATATTCACTTTAGATTTGGTTAAACTAAAACAGAATTGTTTATAGACACTTTATTACCTCAACAAAACTGAGAATTGTTCCTCTAACAGCTTCAATTGGTATACTTGGAGGTTGCTGGGCTCTGTCTTGGTCAATAGCTTCTAAAAGTAATTTTACCAATCTCTGTCCCAGGGGAGCTATCATTCCACTCTGCCACACTTCCAGTGCCAACTCTCCAATCTCCATCTGTTCCCCTGCAAAGGAAAAAGAATAAAATATGTGAAAACAGTGCACGATGAATTCAATAATAAAGTAAGGTAAATGATAATTATATCAAATGTTAAATACCGCCCGTAGAATCTGAACTTCCATATATGATCTCGGCATCAGAAAGCTTTTGCGTTTTGATGTGTTGCTGATTCAGATATAGGTACAAACTGTGCAAGTACTGACTCCCAACAGAGTACTGGGACCAATACAAAAAATAATTTTTCACCAAATTTTGTTCTCCTTCTTCCTGAACTTTGTTTAGGAGTCGAGCAACATGATCAATAAGGTACTGCTTTGTTTCAGCATACAGTCTATCAGCCATAGGTTCAGGATGGGCTACACAAATGGAATAAACATCTCTGAAAAAAAAATTTATTATAATCGAAACTTTCCCGTCCTACGGTATATTAGACACTCCAAAAAAAATACTCACGAAAATCTATCATTCCATACTGTCCTAGCTACATGGTCGAGCGTAATTACTCCTTTGATGGTTTCTTTAATAGCCCCCCAAGTAGCATTAAAATCCACTCTTCTCGGTTTTAAAGACATTTTACCGCCTAACAGTGAAAGCTTGCAGTCACAATTTGACAATCTTCAAAGTGACAAAGCGAAAATTAAATCTAAAAATAAAAAACAGTTTTTTGAAATACGCGCATTAGTCTAATTTGAGGATAGGAAAATGTTGGTTTATTAATAGTATATATACCTTGATTTTCAAACGCCCCCGACCCAATTTAGTGATTATAACCTTCCTGGAATGTTCAAAACACAATAACCCATTAATGAAAATAAACTTACGTTAACAACTCTTTTTCTGGCCTTGATAAAAAGTATTTTATTGATGTGTTTTTTCTGAGTCGATCTTGAAAATATCTGACTATTTTATTAAGAATTAACACAATAACACTCACGAACCCACATATCACTTTATTTGGAAAAAATTGTAAAAATTCATAACTGACTGACTGACCGACTGACAGGTTTTCTTTGTGCCTTCTTGGGCTGACCGTGAAAACGTTCACGAAACATATTTTTCAGTGTTTGGATCCACGGTTCCATGTTTTTGGTTCTGTGATCTACAAAACACTTGAAAGAGAAGCAGACACTTTCCATTTCAGGCGAGATTTTATATTCATCAACAAAAACTTTCGATGGATTACATTAACCAATAAAAAATGCTAAAGTTTCGAATATATGAATACGTCAAATTCATCGGTGAACTTAACTATTGTCAGCGGTCCGAATTATTTCTATATCTATAGGAAAACGTTGACAGCTCGGTTTCTATATCAATCTGCTCAATTTGGATGAGAGCGTAAGGTTATAGGACGAGATAACCTTCAAATTGACTGTAATGTGTGATGAGGTTTCAACCTAAATGACTCAAGTACTTGTTGTGGTTTTTGTAATGAAGTTCTGCGAAATACGTACATATTTTCTCAAGAGTTTTCATTAGCGGTGAATTGGTTCAGTGGTTACAGGCCTAGCTCTCATCCCTGGACCCCGACTTAGAACTTAGAACCCAACTCCAGCCAGATATTTTTCTCACAAGAATTTATCCCGGTGGGTTTCTCCCACGTTGCATGACTGACGAGACTATGTCTACCTATGTTGCTTTCCGGGTGACTCCTGTCATGCAGTTGATAAAATAGCATACTCAGAACACGAAAGAAAAAGAGTTTCGTTGATATTTGATAGTAGACTATGTCTACCTATGCTGCTTTCCAGGTGACTCCTGTCATGCAGTTGATAAAATAGCATACTCAGAACACGAAAGAAAAAGAGTTTCGTTGATATTTGATATTTCCAAATGTATTTTTTCGTAAATTGGATTGAAGTAGGTACTCATATATTATAATTTTTTTTGAGATTATATCAAATCAGAACTAATTTATAGGTGCTAACTTTGATGTAATTCATTGAAATATGAAATAATAATATAAAATATAATACAAATCTGATATTCTAAGTCTTCCTTTTAAACTTTCGGTTTAGGAATCAGATTCGATTTTTTCAATATTATTTTGCGGTTTTTGATTTTCAGTTCATACAGCTGAAGAATAATTTTGTTTTCTCATTCTTTCTCATTATTATAAAAAAAGAAACTCTTAATGATAGTGTGATATAGAGGATTTTATCGATCAACTGTATTTAATATTTTCAAAAGGTGATTTCAAAAACTTTAGAATTAATCCCTAATTGAAAATTGAGTGGTGTAAATATCACTTGACAGGGTCTGACTGTGGGATTGAAATTTTTAGGTTGCACGATGCTGAATTGACTTGGTTTGGGATGCCTTAAAAATATGTACAGTAATCAAAATACTGGATTTTATTCCAACTGGATGTGAATTTTCATCAAATTATACTTACATTATGATATATTCAGTGAATTATTCGGAAGGTCTACGGTGTGGGCCGACGTAAAACTCAAGAAAAACATTGATTATTGCTCCAAAAAACCGTAGTCATGAACAATGTAATAATGGCAATCTCATAATGAAGTTTTTCTCGAATAAGTAACCTAGTATCGGCCAATTCCATCGCTTTTCTTTATAGAATTTTTAATATTTCACCGAGGTAGTGTGGGTCAACGACTATTCATTTTCTCCTCTATTCTTTAAGTTTTTTGTCACTTGGGCCATCAAAAATGCTAGCTGCAAATTTTCTGTTCGGAAATCCAATTATCATTGAAAAAATAAATAGATATATCAAATATACAATCACTTTATTTATATTCGCAATATCTTTGTATGTAGAAACCATCGACATAACCAAGAAACTCTGCGTCATGGGACGTATACTAAACAACAGATTATAGGCGATAACGTCATAGGTGCAAGTATGGTAACATTATGAGATACAAACGCTATATCTTGTTTGAATTGATACCAATTCCTCTTGGAATCATGTTAACAATTTTGTAATACCTAGCGAAATCTATGTATGGTAATATAAATTTTAACTTCGGGAAGAGTCAGATTTCTTTAATTCATAATTTTTTTAAACGTGTGATCTTGTAACTTACGGCAAGACCGAGAGTGTTTATATAAATGTTACGGGCATTTTGATAATTCCGGGCACTATTAATAATGGCCAGTCTGTATTCATAATGCCCGACTCAATTGGGCAATGTGATTAAAACAGCATGAATAATCACTTTTCCCGGCCATTATGAATAATGCCCACCCTATCTTGGGCAAAGTAATAAAATAGGTGAACTGTAGTGTTTTTGTTTATTAAATGAAAAAAAACTTACAAAATTTTGAACATAGTAGTTAAAAAATAATTATTTAAAAAGTAATAACATCAGTAGTTATTTTATCGACCTTTTTTTTTGGGTAATTGTTACCTTCCACAATCTGAAAAAATATAAAAATTATAATGGAGAACTTTATACAAGTGTAGAAGGGCAAACTTTTTAGTTTACCCCGATCAGTTACTGCGTAAAAATCAAAGTAGTTTTCACAAAGAAAAATCTTCTATTTATCAGTAACTTGTCGTATTTCACAATTTTGCCTATCAAAAAAATTATTAAGAAATTATACTTATCTTTTACGTTTCGGAGGCCAAAATCTGTCTACGTCTTCAGAAATGGATAAAAATTCGAATATATACGCAGTTTTCCTTTTTTTGAGAGCTCATTTCTTTACTTCTTCGATAGATGTCAAAGAAGTTTTGAAATATGAAATATTTCTTGCCGCTACAAGTAGAGAAGTATTTATGCTGCCCGGTCCAAGTGATAAATTCAAACTATCTCAAACACTGACTTATTACATGGACCACGGGCTGTCGGACAGTATTGATAATGGCCGGTCAAAGTGATAAATTAATGACTTTGCTCATCGCTCTTGGGCATTATTAATAATGGCCGGTCCTTATTGATAATTCCCAGTTAATCACGTTGCCCGTAACATAAACACTATTATTCGGAGTGTTTTGAAAAGTCAGATATATCTGTCACATATCTCATATCGAAATCCCAGCATTAAATGTTTTGTCAATTCAGCCTAATGAGTTCTTTTTTTGATGATCTCCGTTGCACGTGGGCGACGGTTAGAAAGAACGAGCTGGGGGGGGGACAATGAATCCGTGATTTCTTCCTGGCTTTTGAAAGTAGAAAACAGAGAGCTCTGGGAGCTCTTCGCCTAAGGCAGCGGTCTTGAAGTGGTACGAAAGTTTTGCGGGAAGTAAGTCTGCGTGAATTTTGAGGAGGTTCGAAAACTTAAGAGTTTGAAGGGTTCTCATGACGGCTGATCAAGAGGGGTATTTTGTTTTGGGAGGTAGTTTTCCTGAGTGGAATCTTTAATTTTGTTATTCTTAAAAAACAGGCGATTAACGCGATTTTGGGTAGTCGTTTATTCTGGAGTGATAATCGAGCAGTGTAGTGCAAATAGTTCAAATAGGGGACGAGCAGGAGAAAAGGCAGCGGTGAGTTAAATATACATAGTGTACTAACCATTTTATGATTTTGGAATGGAGTTAGCTATAATGAATTTGTATACAGAGTGGACCTAATAATTGCCTTATAGATATTTGGCGGTCAGAAATCATCGGCCAAGTTAGAGTATTTCGTCACTCTCGTATATTATAGTAATTTTCGGCGAAGGCACAAATATTGAGTTTTATTTTTTTTGAGATTTGATTATGGTTATTTTTTTTAATTTTTTGGGTTGTTTTTGTTCTTTGTCTATTTTGTTATATAATTGTTTTTTTTCCTTTATTTTCTTCATTATTGAATATAGTATCTTCTGAAGGTTTTAAGCATGCTTTTATTTCAAAATCTACCATAGTAACCTTTTGAAAAGAAGTATCTGCGAATTTTTAAGAACTTTTCTCTCTGCAACTAGAGACCTCCTCCTAGTGCAGGAGGCGGAATTCAAGCCTCTTTCAGACTTGCCTACCATCCAAAATTTGATGTGGAGAAATTCGCATCTGGTGACAGCAGTTGTCATATTTTATTTGAATAAAACAAACACGGCACTGGCGAAAGGGTTACCAAGGGTTGATAGACAGTTATCGACGTATTATTTCTCTGGTGACTCAGCCACAGACTCAGCTATAAACCCGTAGATGTTTCAGTGGGATAGTATATATATAATAATACAGACTATGAACATAATGGAATAAAATGGGTTTTCTGTTATTCAGCTGTCATTCTCTTACAGGCGACAATATCTGAAGTTGAAAATTGTGCGAGCTAAAATTCAACAAAATTTTGTCTTTTAACATGCGATTCCTAACACCTTTTTCATTCACTAACATGATCCACTGGATGTATGTATACTTTTATCTCACTTATAAGGGATTATTCCAATTCTCTAAGGCGCATGTAAGAAATTACGAGCTATCCCTGTTCAATCTGAATTTTATACTTTAACTTCTGAATAAAATTATTAGCACACAATTTAAGCCGATTTCTTTTCCTACACGCCTTAACTAATGCTCCTTTTTTTGTACTACAGTTATCGTGGTTTTGTAATCAAGTTGATAATTCCACAATAACATTGATTTAGCTAAGGCCAGGCCCGCCGTAAGCGGGCGTGCAAG